AATTTAGAAAGACTGCCCACAAGTGACAGAACCAGAGGAACAGGTGTCACCACCTTGGAAGTCCTGGACTCACAAACAGGTCACGGCAACTCCTGAGGCCTTGGCTTCTCTTCTGAAGCATGGAGTGTGAGTGCTTCAGTAACTGTCAAGGCAAAAGCTTCATTGTGGTGGCTTTCTGGGGGCTGAGGTGATGTGTGAGGATGGGACGAGGAGTATGTGGTGACGGGGGGCGGGGGGGGGCAGAAGCAGCCGTCGCCGTGGCTTTTGGTCACCAAGCATCTGAACCCCCTTTCTGAATTTGGGAACGCTCCTGCTTTCTGAGTCCTTGTTGGCTGCAGAGCTCATCCGTCCATAGGAACGAAAGATACCGGATGCTCTCCTCCCCAGCCTTCTGGAGGCCAAGGTCGGGGGAGATCACCAAGCCTCTGCCGACCATTCACAACAGTCTGTGGCATGGAGCAACTGGGCTCTCGTTCAGGAGTGAATGTGTCTGAACAAGGCTGAGGTCCAGCAGCAGCTGTGCTGGCGGTGAAGCCTCACACCCAGGAGCAAGGTCAGTGGCGCAGCCTTGGACGCACGGCACGGCCATGAGAACATGGCCGGGCAGGGGCCACTTCTGGCTGCACAGCCTAAAACTGGCCTCTACTCCCTCGGGAGCTCTGAGAGCCACCCAATGGCATTTTAATAAACTCCTTTTTGCTCGAATTAGCACAGGAGGTTTTTGTTGTTTGCACATTAGAATGCTGACTGATATGCTTAGCACAAAACTGTGCAAAAGGGAGAAGGATGCTTGGGCTGGGCGAGGGCCAACGACAGAGACCATTTTCACAAAGTGAAAGCAAACCCTTAATTTATCTGTTTCATGTGCCAGATGTTCTAAGAAGTGCGTGTCATGGTATCAAATCAGCACTAGCAACACTGTATGCAACTGCTCCCCTGAGGGTGCCGTGTTGCTCAGTGGCACTGGGAAGCCTCTCGGCGCTGCAGCAATGAAAGCCTGTCAACTGGGCAACTCAGTCCTCCCCAAAGACCAGGAAATGCTCCAGAATGTAAAGGGATTAATTCTACAGAGCAATGCCCCAAGAGGACGTGCTGTAAGCCCTGCCATGTGTGGATGAGGCGCTCTCTGTCTTTTGGACAATGTTCTTTGCTTAGTTAGTACCTATCTCATAGAGATAAAACTCTTCTCTTGTTCTGACCAGAATGTGCAGTCAATGAAGGCCTTCCGAGGACACAGACACTTTGATGGAGAAAACAGTGCTGTAGAAACACAATGAATCTACTGAAGACTAATATTCTCCCTGTTCTCACATATATTGGTCCTTCTGGTGCTTCAACGGGAAAACTATAAGTTTTTCGACACCTTTAAAATATTTAGGGCCGGGCTCGGTGGCTCAGCCTGTAATCCCGCGCCTTTGGGAGGCTGAGGTGA